AACCTGGACGGGACTAGAAGAGATTATGCTGAGCGAAGTAAGTCAAGCAGAGAGAGTCAAGTATCATATGGTTTCACTTATTTGTGGAGCATAACAAATAACATGGAGGACATAGGGCGATGGAGAGGAGATGGGAGTTGAGGGAAATTGGAAGGGGAGGAGAACCATGAGAGACAATGGACTCTGAATAAAAACCTGAAGGTTTTGAAGGGGCCGGGGTGGGGGAGGTTGGGTGAGCCTGGTGGTGGGTATTAAGATGGGCACGTATCGCATGGAGCACTGGGTGTGGTGCAAAAACAATGAATTCTGTTATACTGAAAAGAAATAAAAAAAAAGACATTGGGTATCAGAATGGATTAAAAAATGTATTTGATACCTATAAGAGTCTCAGTTTATTCTATTATTTTTATAAAGCTTTTCTTTCTATCTTTCTTTCTTTGAGAGAGAAAGGGAGCACAAGTGAGAGAGCACAAGCAGGGGGAGCAGCAGCGAGAGAGAGAAGCAGAGTTCCCACTGAGCAGAGAGCCCGATGTGGGGCTCAATCTCAGGACCCTGAGATCATGATCTGAGCCAAAGCAACTCGTTAACTGACTGAGCCACTTAGGCACCCCAAGAGACTCATTTTAGACTTAAAGTCACTTGCTGATCTAACGTGAAGGGATGGAAGGGGAAATCCAAGTGAAAACTACAATGAGGTATTACCATCTGTCAGAATGGCTAAAATCATTTTGTGTCTACTTTAATTTACACAAAATGATGGAAAAACATTCCATGCTCATGAATTGGAAGAATAATCATTGTTAAAATGTCGATCCTGCCCAGAGCAATCTACACTTTCATGGCCATCCCTACACCATATAAAAAATGTGGCCCATATACACTATGGAGTATTATGCCTCCATAATACTGGATTAATCCTAATATTTGTACGGAACCAGAAAAGACCCCGAATCACTAAGGAAATGTTAAAAGCTGGGCACATCATGTTGCCTGACTTCAAGCTATATTACAAAACTGTGATCAAGACAGCTTGGTATTGGCATCGAAATAGTCACATGGATAAGTGGCACAGAATAGAGAACCCAGAAATGGACCCTCAACTCTATGATCAAATAATCTTTGATAAATCAGGAAAAAAATATCCAATGGAAAAAAGACAGTCTCTTAAATAAGTGGTGCTGGGAAAATTGAACAGCTTCATGTAGAAGAATGAAACGTGACCATTCTCTATACCATACAAAAAGATAAATTCAAAATGGATCAAAGACCTCAATGTGAGACAGGAATCCATCAAAATTCTAGAGGAGAACATAGACAGTGACCTCATGGGGCTGGTCACAGAGAACCCCTACCCTTCCCTGGGTTTCTCTGCTGAAGGTGCTCAAATAATCCTGACATGCCTCAGGTTAATGCTGTAGGAGTCCTACACTCCAGAATGGAGAAAGTGAAACTGGTTCTCCCCCTTTTTGAGAACTGGTGTGATTTCCAGGAATAGAAACTGAAAGCAGCCATCCCTGATTTCCCTGCACTTGGGCTGGGGTCCTGCCATGACCATTATCCAGAAATTACACAGCTCTGAGCAGGTTAGGCACCAGAACAGAAAACCCTGCACTTTCACCTTCCTAACTCCTTTCCTTTCCTCTCCAGGCTCTTCCTAGGACTCCCCAACCCAACACAGTTCTCTTCTTTCCTTACAGAGCATCCTGGGCATTGAACACGTTTTGGATGGTCTCAGAGGGAACGGTCCCTGCTTCAGGGCTGGACTCTTCACCAGGGAGGGGTAACTTCCAGGAAGACCACCGATACCTTCTTGATAGTAGTCACCCAATGCTTCCTGGAGCAGGTAAGTGAGAGGGCTTCTACAACCCAACTTGGCTAATAACCCTCCTACTGTGATGTGAAAGATAGAGTCTGACACCAGAGCAGAAAAGCTTGGGACTGGATTACCCATTTCAGTGAGTAGTCACCATTGGGACCCTCTGATATTCTTCAGGGACAAAACAGTACCCAAACTCTTTGGCTGCTGCAAACCTATCCAGTCCTCCAGTGTGGAGGCAATGGGGTTATCACCTCCATGTTCTCAGCACTGGGGTTGGAAAAGGACAGGAAGATTTGTCATTCATATTCTCATAGGGTCTAAGTAGTATGTAAGACAATGACAATTTCAGGGGGGTAGCCTGGAGTTGGGAGAGTCTATCTGGAATACTTCCTTGACCTCCTGTGGATTAGGTAGTGGGCGTGGGGTTTCAGGGACAAGGGGTCTAACAGACCTTAGACAATGTATAACAGTGCACATGTGTATCTGTATTGGAAAAACTATCCCCCTTGCTGGACACCAGCTCCATCCTTCACCTCAGTGAGGTGGACTATTGAAATACTCTTCCCAGACCAGGTCCTTTTGTGCTTCCTGCCCACTGATGATGCAGATGTTTATTATACTTTCCTAGAATAAATCAATATGTTGATTTCTTTCCCTCACCCTTTCCCTATGATGATAAAATGAGGGAAATATGGGCTTGTCCCCCATTGGGTTCAAACTACAGAAAGCCTTGATGCCTTAGATTTCTAGTTCGGTGATCATTAGGCATGGTATGAACTGTATAGGACCCTGCGTTGGAAGTCCACTAATGAGTGTTTTCCTTTCTGCTTCTGAGGTCATGAAATCTATCTGGTACATTATAACAAGAATTCAAAATAAAATTTACCCAGTGCAATAGAATCCAGTAGGTTAAAGTAAAGGGTAGACAGACTGTTGGTAAACTCTTTCTTCAGGTCTATGCATATGTGTGCATGCATGTGTGTTGAGTGTGTACTTAGTTCTTATGTGAAATGCATCTCTCACTGTTGATCTCATTCAGAAGGCTGAAAGATCTGCTCCCAGGGTCTGGTTCTTTTGCAAGCACAGCTGCCCTCTCTAGTTGAATCTGCTACCTGGGCTCCTTCCAGAAAGGCCTGTGTCTCTTTACTCAGAGACCCTCAAACTCTCTTTAGAGAGGGAAGATCAGAGGTTTAGCATGAGTAGGATCTACAAGAAGGAAGCGGGGGGAGGCACTTGCACCTGGACTTGTCTATGATGGCTTCTGGGTCAGTAATCTGAGCCTCAGTGTCCTGCAGACACATATGCATTGACCACTCCTGGAATAACTTACAGCTTGTCATGGAGTTACCCTTGTCCCATCCTGCAATGGTAGCGACACATGGGCACAGTACTGCCTTAAAGGATCCCGAGACGGTCCCATGTGTGGCGTTGTCTAGCACCAGGTGCAGGGCAGAGAACAGATGAGCAGGTAGTGGGGAATAGGAGAGCTGTGGCTGGTGCTTCGTAACCTCAATCACCCCCCTTCAATCAGGTCCAGCACAGGGGCTCAGCTGAGAAGACATGTGAAAAGTCCATGGTCAGACATAGTCACAGAAATGGTCTGGAAAAATATAGGTTTGTGCTCACCTTCCACACCCACCTTGTGGTGGGGGGATGGTCATACTCTGCCCCAGCCCCTACTTGCTTTCCGAAGGGCTGTGGCAGAACTGGCTTCAACATTTCAGATGACAGATTTAGGAAGCAAAGTTAAATTATCCATCAACCAATAAGTAGAAGATATACAATGGTATATTGTATTTCATTCTTCTAACAGAAGTATGTCCCATACCTGCTGGGGACTAAGGGTACTAGAATCTAGGGAATTATTTATTGTAAGTGCAAAGACTTGCATGGGTATTTTTATGATACTAATCATCTAACATGGGATGAAAGAATGCTTTTTGGGACTTTAAACTTTTGAATACACAGGGTTTTTATCGATTGATCTACCAGTTGGGAAGTCAAGGTGAGGTGGGTACATGTGGAAGCTGTGATGGGATTTAGACAAACCAGGAAAAGAAATCAAGGGCTGTAGCCCAGGTCCTATGTTCTGGCCTGCTTGGGCACCAAAGGAACACTAAGGACATCCAGTCTTTTCCATCCCATACTAGGACAAATTTACAGGCAAGCAGAATATATAGCATGCTGAGGGGCAGCAGAAAGCCTTTCACACAACCAAGTCAGTGAGCCTGGAAATCACCCAGGAGATTTCTCCCTGGAGCCACGATGGCAGTTGAAGCCTCCAGGGACTTCTATGTACCCCATAAACAAGAATGGAGGCTATTCTGGATAATAGTCAAGAGAGGTCTTAAAGAAGGCTTTGAGTACAAGGGCAAGGGCTACTCTTCTTCTTATTCCAGAATGTTCTTTCAGCCTGAGCCAGCCCAGAGCTCCATCTTTCTGACTTCTGGCCAGCTTTAGCCATGTGTGCCTGCCCACCACCATGTCATTCACCCCCTCACCGAGCTCAGGGCACCTCCACTCCCTGCAGGAAGAGGCACCATTTTTGCTGACCTATTGCAACTCTCCTGATGGAGGACCCTGAAAACTTTGTGGGCACAGGCCTCAGGAGATGCTAGTCCCCAAGCAGATGGGATCATGATCTCATCATAATCCATCAGCTTCCCTCTCTCTGAACTCCCAGCATCTCCTGATCATTTCACTGGGCATCTCTAACTCCCAATGGGGGTTAGGTTCTCTGCCACATTTTCTGAGAAGTGGGGACACATTTTGGGATTTCTCTTCACACATGGAAATCAGTGAGTTTAATGTGGAGTGAGGATGGGAGTTGAGAGAGAACTGTGATTTCCATTCTCTCCCCCAAATTAGTAAGAGTGCATCCAGGGAGAGGTAGATAGTAATTGACAGCAATTATTGGACCCACATCCCCAGGGGAAGCATCTCAGAATCCAGCCACCCCTCCGCCCCTGGGGCTGGAGATTCAGCATTTACTAGAATGGTCCTCCTCTCCTGTCCAGACAGAAACAGAAAGACACTGTGAATTTATATCTTGGATCCTGGGTCATTGCTATACAATTTGAGGCTTATTTCTCATCTGTGAGTCACTGTTTCTTGACCTGTGACCAGGAATAATACTATCGCTTGTTTAATAGAGCTCGGAGAAGATTAATCAAGAAGAGGCATGCAGAACATCCTGCCCCCACAGACTCACAGATCAAAATCTTCATACACTGCAGTAAGAGGTGGAGGGAATAAGAAGAATGAGAGAAAAGCCTTCCTCAGAGGTCATAAGATGAGAGAGAATTCACCAAGCAGTTGCTGGCAGGCCTCCCCAGGCCTTCACTTGGATCTTAGCATGAAGCCCTCTCTGAAGTCCTGTGAGGTGGGTAGCTTCCCTCCTGCACAAGACAGAACATTGGGGCTCAGTTTTCAATGTGAAAACATTCATATTACCATGGGCCAAGCCTGTCTGAAAACTCAGTCAGGGCTCTTGGCAATTTCCTCATTGGAAGAAAGCACTCAGAGAACTCTAGGGGGCAATCATGCAAGGAAGACACACCATTGGAGAGGAAAGCCAGTGCGGTGGGTAATAAGCTGCACCATAGCTCCTACAGCTCAACATGAAATTTGTCCTTTAGACAGGACTGCAGTCCTTTTCAGCAGAATCTTGTGTGTCTGGATGTGAGGTCTCATCTCCAGGAGCACCAGGAGAGCCCTGATGTACAATGATGTACAATGAGGCTGTACTATAAAACTCCTCAACAAAGAGTCAGTCTTGAATTAGAAAGTGTTTTAAAATTTGCATTTGTGCACACAGAGATAGTATATGTCTTAAGGTAAATTACCACAGCAAGCAGCCATAACTTGTGGGATTGTGAAAGCCCACCAGCCAGCACTGTGTGTGTAGCCCCCAGGAGGAGAGTCCAGTGGGTAATCCCATCCAGTTCTCTTTCCCAATTCTGCCATATGAAATGCTTGCAATCTTTTTTTTATGATTTTATTTATTTATTTGACAGACAGAGATCACAAGTAGGCAGAGAGGAAGGCAGAGAGAGAGAGGAAGAAGCACGTTCCCCACTGAGCAGAGTCTGATGCGGGCCTGATCCCAGGACCTTGGGATCATGACCTGAGCCAAAGGTAGAGGCTTTAACCCATTGAGCCACCCAGGCACCCCAAATGCTTGCAATCTTACTGCAGGGTTCAGCTTACAAGAGAAAGCTAATGGGAGAGCTTAAATACTTATAGCAATAATCACAGCAAAGATAAGCAATCAAGTACAAACATAAGTACTGACTTAAAAATCAGTAGGATATTATTTAGAAAGCTTGTGTAACTTAAATGTTGCAGTGGATGAGGGACAGGGACTTTTTAGGTATGCAGTTAGTGGTGAAAGATATGGAAAATGGGGGAAAACGCACTTTTCACTGCTGTTAAGACAATTAAATTGCTCTTGACTTTGAAGACATATGTATTAAGGATGTGTCGGTCCTCGAGATTGAACAATATGGAGAGTTGGCACAAGTTTGCTTCTGCCTGGGCACATCCCCGGTGGGACATCCTGCTCACCCAATCTGGGTGGAGGAGTACCCATATTTGCCTGGTCCTGACTGAGCAATATCCTTCTGCTCAAACCCCTCCATCCATAACCTGCTGAGAAGCTGACTACTAGTAGCACAGCTACAGAGCATTCATCAGTGGTCTCCTCTGAGCCTCTAACATGTGCACATCTCCTCAATGAGCACCTTTCCTGCTTTTCTTTTCAACAACTACATTGGGATATAATTTACACATTCTATGATTCATCCCCTTAAAGTTTTCAGTAGCTTTGAATATATTCACAAAGTTGTACACCCATCGTAATCAGATTTAGAACGTGTTCATTATCCAAAAGATATCCTGTACCTCTTGACTACCTCTCTTTTCCCTCCTACCATTTGCCCTTCCAATCTAGGAAAGCCTCAATATATTTTCCATGCCTAAGGATTTGCCTTTTCCGGACATTTCATATGAATAGAATCACAGAATACATGGTCCGATGGGCTGTCAGCATCCACAGAGCACAATGTTTTGGCGTTCATCCATGTTGTGGGTGGTATCAGTACTTCATTTTTTTCTTGTCCAGTAGTGATCTATTGTATGGATAGACCACTTTTCTTTATCCATTGAACAGTGGGTTCACACTGTGTGAATTCCACCTGAGGGGTTATTGTAATAATGTAGCTGTGAATATTTGCATGCAGGTTTTACGTAGATGTACGTTTTCATCCCTCTTAGGTATCCACCTAGGAATGGAACTGCTGGGTCATTTGGTGACTCTGTTTAAATTATTTTATAGTTTTATTGGAAAAGAATTGGCGTATATCACTGTATGAATTTAAGGCATATAGCACGATTTATATATGTTGTGAAGTAATTACCTCAGTAGGTTCAGCTAATATCCATCATCTCAATAAAAGGAAAAGAAAGAAGAAAAAAGAGAAAAAGTTCTCCATGTGATGAGAACTCAGGATACAGTCCCTTGACAACTTTCCTATAAATCATACAGTCATGTTATCTGTAGTCATCAGGTTGTACACTACATCTCTAGTACCTACTTATCTTATAACTGAAATCTTGTACCATTGGAACACTTCCTCCAATTCCACCTTCTCACCCTGTGATAAATTGAATCCACAAGTGTGTTTTCTTTTTCTATGAATTTATTTTATTTGAATTTTAGATTTCACACATCGGTTAGAACATGCAGTATTTGTCTGTCTGATTTATGTTACTTAGCATAATGCTTTCAGTGTCCATACATGTTACAATTGGTAGGATTTCCTCCTTTTTTATGGTTGAATATGTTTAAATTTTTGACAAACTAACATTTTTCCAGAGGCTTGCTGTTTGTCACCTAAGTACCTTTGCAGGGAGTTGGGTGTGGATCTGATGCCCTCAGTTTGGGTTATCAAATCTGATGATTCCTCTGCCACCCTATGTGCTGGGCTCTCTTAACTCCCCTGTTTTTCCCTCTGCAGGTCACTCCATTGCTCAGTGATGTGACACAGCCCACCCACTCTCTTCACACCCCATTACTTGCATCCTCCACCTCTGATATATCGTACAATATGGCCTGGAGAGTCCTACCTAAGGAGGTTGCCATAAACACGGAAAAGGCCTTGGGAGGAGGGAAGTTGCTGGAGGTAGTCTCTGTGGTAAAGGAGACCCTGAAGACAGCATCCAGTGCCCCAGTGAACATTGCAGTGACTGGAGACTCTGGCAATGGCATGTCCTCCTTCATCAATGCACTGCGGGGAATTGGGCAGGAGGAGGAGGACTCAGCTCCCACTGGGGTGGTGAGGACCACCCAGATTCCCACTCGCTACTTTTCCTCCCACTTTCCCAACGTGGTGTTGTGGGACCTACCCGGAATAGGGGCAGATACCCAAAGCCTGGGGAACTATCTCCTGGAGATGCAGTTTAGTCTGTATGACCTCTTCATCATCATTGCATCAGAACAGTTCAGCATGAATCTTGTGAAGCTTGCCAAAATCATCCAGGGCCTGGGAAAGAAGTTCTATATTGTCTGGACCAAGCTGGACAGGGACATCAGCACAAGTGCCCACCTGAAGGAACAGCTCATGAAGAATATTCAGGAGAATATCCAGGAAAATCTCCAAAAAGAGGGAGTGTGTAAACCCTACATATTCCTGGTCTCTAGCTTTGACCCCTTATTGCATGACTTCCCCAAGCTTAGGAGCACCTTGCACAGGGACATTTCTGACACCAGGTACCATGGTCCCCTAGAGAATCTGTCCCACGCTTATAAGAAGGCCATTAACGACAAAGTGATCACTTGCAGGAAGAAAATAGCCTCAAAGTCTTTTGACACCCTTGGTATCTGGAATGCAGATGATCTGGGGCAAAGTCTGATGTCCTACCACTTGCTCTTGGTATAGATGATGAATCTCTCTGGCAGATGGCTCAGAGTATGGGGAAGTCCATAGAGGAGTACAGGGCCCTTATGAGGTCTCGAGATCTAAACACTGTCCTCAGAGGGGACTGGCCATTTTCTTGCATGAATTGTAATGTAGTCTCTTGCTTATGTTTAATTCTGAGATGTATCCCACTGTTAGGTGGCTTTGTTTTCAACTCCCTTAGAAAGTGGAAACACAGACGTCTCCTTGAAATAGTTGCCAAGGACACCAAGGACATCCTGAAGAAAATCCTGACAGACTCCATCATCTGAAGAAGTGATGTCTCAGCAGCCTCCTTCTGAAGGGAAGTCAGGACATCTGGGGTCCTGTCCTCACATCCTTTCTCAATTCTCAGTCAAGCTCAATTACTTTCACTTTCATTGATTGTAAGTTCTTTGAGGCATATGAGATGACTTGCTCATTTTGAACTCATGTCAGGAAATTCCCAAATATGTTGTACTTTTGTCATTTATTAAATGAGCCTGCATCCAAAGGTGGAAGAAAATATCTGCTCAATGTGACATACAGTCTCATTCTGACATCCATTTCTCACTTAACTTTAACACCATTTCTCTGATGTCCATGTTCTTTCACTTCTCATCTCACACTCTGTGGACTCACACAATGTTGACCTCCCTGTATGACAGTGGTAGACACTTTATGATGACCTCTAACATTTCCTCCTATTTTCATGGCTGTGTTTAAACCCTTTCCCTGGAGTGATTAATAGAATATGGCGGCAATAAATGAAAATCCGAAAATTCCAGAACTTTGTTATGAAAAGTGCATCTCTGTCTTATAAACACTCTGTTCACTGGCTCTGCCTTGCTCCTGTTCCAGCTCTGTTTTCCTCTCTCTCTCTCCATCTCCCTCTCCTCTTTCCTCTCTCGGCCTAGTTACCATAAAAATTTTGGAGAGGTCCTGAGGAATCAGAGGCCATGTGGAGGATAGCAGAGGCAGCCTACATTAACTGCTGGTCATGTAAATGTGTCATCTTGAGAGTAAATCCTTCAACCCCAGTAAGACTTCAGGAGATGCAGCCCAGCTGATAGCTTGACTGCCATCTCAGGAGAGACCCTTATCCAGAACCACACAATTAAAACTGTTCCTGAATTTATGGCCCTCAGAAACTATAAGCAAATAAACACTTGTTTTAAGCCACTAAGTTTCAGGATAATTTGATCCACAACAACAGAAACCAGATAATACCATCAAGAAGCTCCTTACAAAATGGCCAGGTGTGAGTGACCTCCTCTCTCTGTGAGAGTCACTCCTGCATGTACCCAGCATGAAGGAGCTGTACCCTCTCCAATCACAGCTCTCTCCTCCTTGGCCCCTGTACATGTCCTTCCTTGTTACCTACTGAAGGACCAGCCTCTGCCAACATTTTCAGGTCATTTCATCCAGCCTCAGGCTACACAGAGTTATCCAGTTTGGGGATCTATATTTAACAAGAAAAAAGCAGAAAAAAAAAGAAGAAAAGAAAGAACTAGATAGCTACATACAGCCTTGCTCAGTAGTTGGAAGGAGAGTAAATGACAGTAGAATGTGAGCACTTCCCTGAGGAAGAGCAGGCTAGGGTTCTCCCTGATGGTGTTCTGTGAAACACCTCTAATTCCTGCTCTCACTTGGACTACTTGCTCTCCCAACCTGGAGCACAGGCCTTGCTCATATCCATCCATTCACTTAGTGGCACTGGTGCTTCTGGATTCCCCATTCCCTGTTCATTTACATTGCATCCATTCTCAAAGTGAGAAAAAAGTTCTCTGTGTGGTAAACTTTCTAGTCTTTGCATTTCAAATTAATACCATTGTTTTGTGATCGCTTTCAATAGTTTAACTGAGTAGATGATTCTGGACACAATATCATATTCTCTCAGAACTATGAAGATCTATCTCCTTCTAGTATGCCATGTTGCCAGTAAAAAGCCCAATGCCAATTCCATTCACATTCCTTGGATGACCACCTGGTTGTCTCCAAGGAAAATTGTAGGAACTCTTCATCCCTGGCTTTCAGAAATGCCAGCAGGGACTAGTGACCTGGAGCACTTCCATCAACAGTCAGCATTCAGAAGGTTACATAAATTAATCTGTAATGTCAACATTATACCAAAAGATTAATTACTCTCCATATATCTGTGGTTCAGTCCTTTCCACATTGTGTAGGTAAACTTAATTATCTGTTCTCTGCCAATGCCTGTTGTGGGAGGCCATGGTAAGGCTTGAGATGAGAACCAAACCAGGCCCTGACTTGTGCCTCCTTTAAAGGTTGAATAGCCGAACAAAAGGCTTAGATCAATAAAGTCGAGTAGTACTGAGAAAGGGTCTGTGCTATGTGTTGTGCGCTCGCCTACGTGACTTCCTACACATTTGCTAGTCAGAGACGATTTGGTCGGGGTCAGAAATTCTTGGCTGGTCCTTGCTGTCCTTGCACGGGCTATAGACTACACCACTGTAAGACTGTGCTGTGCTTGCATAAACTATGTCTTGAGTCGCCTTGAAGTCAGTACATCTGGCACTAGAGGGTCTGCTACTGGTGCTTGGGAAATAGATAATGGGAAAGCTTGAAGGATTTTCTGTGCATGTTGCAAACTCTTTAGTAATCAGCTAAAAATAGATACTTTCTTATGATTGTTTCTGTTAGCTATATAATGCCTTGTTGCCTTGAATAAAATTGGCACTATTGGACATCCTCCTTGGTGCTCCTCCTGCCCCCATCTCTTTGTCTCTTAATTTCTTTTCAGCATCCTCTTACCCTCTTGACCCTGGTCGATTTGTTGCGCCGGCCACGACAGCCTGTCCTCTCTTTTTCCACAATTATGAAGACTGCTGTTAGGAGCACATGTCCATGCCTTCTGCACATATTTGCAGAGTGACTCTTAAGTATAGTGTTAGGAGTGGAAATGCTGAATCCTGAGGCACATGAATATGCAATGTAATTTCTCTATTTTTCTCTATACATGTTTCTTTTTCTATGAACATTCTGTACATGTCTTTTGCCCACCTCCATGCTGGATTGTTTCAGTTTTTCTTAGTGACTTCTGGAATTTTTAAAATACTTTCCTTCCATTGATCATTAGTTGACTACATGTATACAAAATCTCCAGATTTGTGGAGATTTCTAAACTTTCTTTTTGCATTTGTTTTTATGAAGAGAAGCTTTTCACTTTCATGTAGTCAAAGTATCACATTGGTCAGTCTGTTTTATACAGCTGCCATCTTGGTATCTTTACACCAGCATCATATCATTTAAGAAAACTTTCTCTAGGAGAAATAGGAGGAGTTAAGATGGCAAAGGAATAGGGGAGTCTAATTTTTTCTTGTCCCTGGAATTCAGCTTGATAGTTACCAAATCATTCTGAACACTTGCAAAAGTAACTGGAGATCTTAGAAAAGAATTGCTGAAATTCTACAAATAGGAAAGCAACCATTTGCAAGGTCAGAGGTGCAGAGACATGAATCCAGAGATATATATCAGAAGATAAACTGCTGGGGAAGAGTCTGGCTTAAGGAGGCTACCAGAAAGTATTTAAGCAGTGGAAACACAATATGAGAACTTTTGAAGTCTGTGTGGGTGGGAGACATCCTCCCTGGAAAGCTCAGGTAGTGAAGCAGGGCAGAATATCAGGTGGACAGCATTGTCTCAGGATCCCCATGGCTACAAAAATAATGGGAGTGCCTGAGTGTGACAGAGTTCCCAAACATCAGGGTAGGGAAGTCTGCTGCAAAAATTTGAGTTTAGAAGCTGGCTTTCTACACAGTGTTGCCATAAACCACAAACTGCTGCTTGGTTGGGTGACCACTCTCCAAGCAGGGGCCAAGCAAAGGGCAGAAGCCCAGTGAGAGACCCCTTCCTCCCCTGAGGAGGGGTGGGGGCCTGCAGCACAGGATCTGATAAAGTTTGGAGACTTGAAACAGGGTTTCATGCCTGAGATAAACAATGTTCTGTCACAGGATAGGTGAGCATAGAGTTCAGATGGAAACCAGGGAGACAAGAGTGATTGACTGCTTTTCTGTGAGTAGGGTGTGACCTTTCAGTTCTGGGGCTAGGGATTGGGGTACTACCATTTTTATCCTCCCCATTGGTGCTGAAAGCCTTCAGGTAGCAATACAGCACCACCTAGTGCAATCCACAGCTGCTTACACTGAACCCAGCACAATGGCAAGGGTGGGTGGTACATTTCACCCAGGAAAGACCCCTGAGAATTAGTGCAACAGGCCCCCACCCCAGAAGACCAGCAGGAACATGAGGCTAATACCTAGTTTACTGATTATACAGAACTGCAAAACTTAAACTCTAGGGTAAAACAGTATATAACATTCATCTTTTTTTTTCTTATTCGATAATCTTTCAATTTTATATTTTTTTCCTTTTTAGCTATTTTTTATTTTATCAATTCCCTTTTTAAGTCTTTTAAAATTTTTATATTTATTATATATATGTATATACATAAAATATATAAATAAATTTTTAGTTTCCTTTCATAGTATTAAATTTTATTTTATATATATATATAAAAGTTTTTCTTTCTTTCTTGTTTTGGGACATAATTTCCTCAAACAAACAGCTCAAAATACACCCAGGATCTAGTTTATTTTGTATTCTGTTCTCCTTCTTGTTTGATTATTTCTTTCTCTGTGCCTCTCTGTCTTTCTCTCTCTGTCTCTTTCTTTTTTTTTTTTTTTTAGTTTGTGTTCTCTTCTGATTTCCTTAGTGCATATATTTCTTGTGTTATTAGTAGTTTTTCATTTTTCTCTCTCTTTCATCTATTGTTTTCTGGACATAATTATGAGATGGAAAAACTCATCCCAAAAAAGTACAAGAGGCAGTTCTCACTGACAGAGATGTAATTTATATGGATATAAGTAAGATGTCAGAAATAGAATTCAAAACAATTATAAAGACGGTAGCTGGGCTTGAAAAAAGCATAGAAGACACTAAAGAATCCCTTACCAGAGAAATAAAAGAACTAAAATCTAATCAGGCCAAAATCAAAATAGCTATTACTGAAATGCAATAAAAAGTGGAGCCTCCAAGTGCTAAGATAAATGAGGCAGAAGAAAGAGTTAGTGATATAGAAGACAAAATGACGTAGAATAAGGAAACTGAGAAAAAGGGAGGTAAAAAACTACTAGATCACAAAGGGAAGATTTGAGAGATCAGTGATAACATAAAGCAAAAACTGTACTAGAAGGGTCTCAGAGGAAGAGGAAAGAGGGGTGCTGAAGGTTTATTTGAACAGATTATAGGTGAGAACTTTCCTAATATGGAGAAGGAAACTGGCCTTCAAGTCCTGGAGGCACAGAGAATTCCCTTTAAATCAATAAAAATAGGTAAACAACTAGACATAATAACGAAGCTTGCAAATTTCAGAGAT